TAACAGCTGTTGATGCTCTAGGCCGGCCGTGCACCCCCTGACGAAGCCGGTCGAAAAGCGTCAAAAATCTAGCCTAGAGCTTCGCTTTCTTTTCCTTTATAGCCTTCTTCCGCCTGGACCCCCTTTTCTGCCTGGCTTTTCACATTAGTCTCGATTTTCCTGTCGAGGTACTCGCGTGGGTGCTGAGCCATGGCTGTTCAAGGGCTAGCCCTTCTATCAGTGATTGTCCATCTTATTATATATATATATATAGAGAGAGAGAGAGAGAGGGGGGGAGAGAGACAGCTTTAAGAGGAAGAGGCCTACCCTAAAACTTAGGAACGCTCGACCTTGACACGTGATGTCGAAATGGGTGTAATCGCCTCTTGATGTGATTAACTGCCTTGAACCTTGAACCTCGCAGCCAATGTTGGCCCACCATTGTGTGCTGCTGGGGAAACCTCATGGCAAATGTACTGATGTAGGCAGAGGGCATTTTGAGGCACATTCAAAATTCATAATTGCCTGTATTGTTGATGAGGGTAATTACAAATGACAAACTAAACTTTACCTAATGCTACTTATTTATTGTGCCAACTGTTTAGTAGTTGTGCTTTTTGAAATGGTATAGTGACCATTTCATCGTCATAATATTTTCAGAAAACTGCATTTTTCTCGAATTAAGGTACGGAAGAAGTACCCATAATAAACATTGAATATGTCTGACTACTCGCTTTGAAATTAGGTATTATTCATATTTCTAGCTGAAGTAGTTCGGGTCATATTGCATTTGTTTCAGGGGTCATTTTACCCTTCCCTTTAAATTTTTCAAAGAACACATCTGAAAGACCGTTGGACCTGGGAAGCTGAAATTTCGATTTTTTTTTTGTTTTTCATAACCTCACGTGCACCTTATTTTTAAGTGGAAATTTCCAGTCGGTGCAGCTATCAACCTGGCAAAAATGGGACCATTTGACATGGAAAGACTCATCATCAGTTAAAGAAGAGTGCATTTATGTTCAAAGTTTTGCGGTCAATTCAAAGGTGGATTTCAGAAATCCGTGATGCTGACGACAAGTCAGGACGATAATCAATCTGTGACAAATGCCTGCCATACTGACTCCTGTACGATGATACATGGAACTTATTTCGTGAAAAGAACTTGGTACTTTTGTGCATCAGTATTACAGGTCTCTCAATAATTGCATTTGTCTTCATTTGCAGGCTAAAAGAGGAGAATGGACATGGAAACAGGTTTCTGGCTAGTTTTTTGGACCATAATCCGATGCGGACCCTAGGAAGAATAAAAGAGGTACTTCTAATTCCAGACTATTCTGTGAAAATCAACAAGGGAGAAATTCTCTACATCGATTTATGCTCAGGGAAGTTTAGGACTTGCCTTCTCCCCGGGTACGTAGGAGTCAACGAGGGGTTCACATTTAGCAGTGACCACAGTGATTTCGAATATATCTGATATTATTTTCCCAATGTTTTCACCGGATATTGTGACTTGAGTACCTCCTTCGATGGGACCCTTCTTCGGCCAAAAGTCGGAAATGACAGCATTTGGGCATGGTTTGTCTCTGCCAACCCAGGAATCTCCAAGGTCGCATGTTTGTTTTGTTGTACAGCTGCTTTGTACAACACACCATCCACATGTGTCATACCTTTCCTCTAGGGTCAAGCAGGACGTGCATGTTTTCGCCAAAAAAGGGCAAGCAAAGATTGCCACTGAAAGATAAGTGTCAGTATTTAAGCATTATTCTCTGGGATGGGTTAGTCAACCAGTAAACGAGGGAGCCACGTTTCCCACCATGAAAGTCATTCTGGTTTTCAAGAGGGTATTCATATTCTTGCCTCCACGCAACAGAAATACTGACCCTTTCCGTACTTCCGTTTCCACCATGGCGAAGGACTGGAGCGATATCGTCGCATAGGATCCAACCAGGTTTACTTTCCAATCCCCTTCCTGGCACTTTTATTTGTGGCATCTCCTCCAAGAACTCGAAAATGCATTGAAGATCGAGACCGGCTTCATGAAGTGGCACCTTGAGATCCATCGAAGAAAATATTAGCATATTTCAGACGTTCAATGGCCTCTTCAGACGTAAAGGTTCTGAGAAGAATGTGAAAGTGAAATAATGCATTCATTACTAAAAATTTCGCTGAAAATGAATGTTTCTTTCGTCCTTTCCTTCCCACTCCATCCAGAAAAAAAAAATTATAACGTCAACAAAAATGTGTCACTCCTTAAGTCTGGGGGCACGAGACGTTCCATATATGAATCTTTTCTCCATAAAAGGTCAAACCGAGTAACATACCGGGAACCTTTCGATGTGCAGCTTCAGCAAAGAGTTTCCTAGGAAAGGGACGTAGATATCTGGAGAGGATCCATTCTTTCCATCGACGTCCCACCCATCTATTCTTGGACAACCCTCAGTTTGGTTTCTCCCTGCATCCTCCTGAACGAAGTAGCATAAACTTATTTTCGTGACGCACTGGAAAAGAGGTCGATGTAGAAAACACTCGCTCATTCAAATTTGAAGAGGCATTCGGCGTCTTCGCACCAATATAATGTCACAATCTTCCGTGAAATTACCCGATATTGTGCCTCTGAAATTGTTATCTCTAGAGCGTGACATCAGTTCCAGAATACCCTCATCTTGACAACGAGTAGTTATAAAATACCAAGTTGTGTGCTAGATACCTCCCTCTTCTCACGACAGGAATAAGAGAATGTCCAAGAACTATTGGCTTCAAATACTTGACCATTGGTTCAAGAAGAATATGCTCCTAGCACGGAAACCTTTATAAATATTATGCAGTTAACCAAATCACCTACGCATAAAGGAGAGGTCGTATGAAGGTGAGAGATGTCTCATATTGATTTTCATGGTCTTTAGGGATAGACACAAATATATCATATTAATTAATTAATTATTTATTTGATTTCTTTAGCTCTCTCACTCCATGCAGTCTCTTCAATCTAAATAACACCCTTTACATATTTACTGAATAATCTTATTTTACTGCGTATAAAAATTTAACCCTAAAACTTCCGAGAAGGACCACCCGCCGAATGGTTCATATGATATATCAATTGCAAGCTCATCATGAGTAGATTGCGTTGGTGCATATTTTAGCTTAGAACGATGAAAAAAGAAGCATACATTTTAATGTTAAGAGGTGTGGATTGTCGGCTAGTCAGGCGTTTAGTGGCGTGGGCGCGCACGTTCGGCATCGGAGTTGCTGCATTGAATGGATGACGAGAACGTGCGTTTTCGCTAGAATAGAAAGCCTCATCTATATCTAATACTAGCGAATTTGTTTGCCCTTAGGGCCTCAAACTTGCTATGATCGCGCCTTCGGCGCTCCATTACCTTGGATAGTGATTAATTTCTTCATTTTTTTCGAAGTGGCAAACACGTAAAGTACGTCCCCATTGAAATACGTGACATATGGGGTCGAAAGTCTTCATTATTTTCAAATTCTTTACATCTATGATTCTATGTGTGCCTAACTTGAAATCTTTTCTTGTGTTCCTTTTAGTAAGGGTGGAAAATGCATTTTGAAATACTTCCCTCTGATAATCTAAGAGCCCTGATTGGTTTTAACGAAATTTTTTTATCTTCTGAAATGGAGACTCAGGGAACTACATGCCACCCAGTTTCAGCCTCATACGTTTCCCCTTTTTGAATTAGCGTCAGTCAGTCACGATCGTCTATATATATTAGAAAAGTAGACATTTTTATTTACCCAGCTATCCATCAGGTACTTATTTGCCATGCTTTTTTTTTACTTTCATGCACCCTCTGTTTTGCTGGATCAGAAAATTCGTGAAAACAAGCCTTTTGCAAAATATGTGCCCTCAGCCGTTTCAACCGAAACCTACAATTTTTTCTCATCGAAATCCATCCTCAGTGAACTACATGCCCACAACGTTTTAATAATATACGTTTGCCCTTTTCGCTGGTGAAAAAACGTGTTTGGAAAAGCCGACCCACCCTAACGCTATGCCCGAAGGGGATGCACCATGAAAGCTGAATACTCCTTCAGCTCAGTAATATCATGTCACTTATAGGTGTGCCAAGTTTCACCTTTCCATTTCTGTCCAATTCGCCACAACACTTTTTTGTAAAAACCTCGAAAAATTTCACCCATGGGATATATCGAGACTTTACATTTTTTTATTATTTAACTCCTTGTCTCAGTAGTCACATTCTTGTAACAACCTAGAAAAATTTCACCCAAGGGATAAATCGAGACTTTACATTTTCTTATTATTTCACTCCTTGTCTCAGTAGTCACATTCATGCAAAGTTTCAGCTTTCCATGCTCAGCAGTTTAACTGATGCAAAAAAATTATTTGAAAACATCTTTTGAAAATTGTGCCCCCAGTGCATTTACTTCTAAAGTCTGAAGTTTTTTGCAGCATCCCAGTAGGTAGCTATGTACCAAGTTTCATCTTTCCACACTAGCTCAATATGCAAGGACAAAAAAAAACTTGAAAACGTCGGCTCTCAAAATTATGCCCCCAGGGCATGCGTATGAAATTTTGCATTTTTCCTGAACTCATCGTCTCGGTAGGCACCTGCTTACGAGTGTATGCCTCCCTCTCTTCGGCTTGCACTTTTTTTTCGGCCGTTGGGACAGTTGGACCTCTTTCGGTAACGTAACATGGGGGGGGGGGGGGGGGGAAAGTCCAGATGGCATAAGAGGACGAAAGAAACGATAGAACGAACGGATATCGAAACTGGGACCAACTGCTTGCCAGTCAAGTATGTTTCCATTACACTACCGAACATATGCTGCTAAATTATGTATTTCTCCATGCAATCCCTAACACTCCCATGGGAGGAAAAGGCATTACAGTGGTACCTCGCATAACGAACGCAATTCGTTCCAGCGGTGCGTTCGTTATGCGAGGTGTTCGTTATGCGAAACACGATTTCCCATAGACGTCTATGGGAAATCATGTAATCCGTTCCACGTTGCCGCGAAAAATCAAGGAAATTAGAAAAAAATGTTTCACTTTCACTCGCGAACACCTCACATAACGAACGCACCGCTGCTGGAACGAATTGCGTTCGTTATGCGAGGTATCACTGTATACGCATGCCTTCCCCCCCCCCTCCGGGTGTTCACACCTCTAATACGGAATTTTTCGCTGGGACGTGTGAAAGTCCCCATGAATCACATTTGGCGTCTCCTTTCATCCTTTCTGGAATAATTATTTTCTTGCCCGGGAAGAGATATCCGCCCATTTATTTCTCGGGATCCGGAAAAGTCGTCTCGTAGGCAAGCACACCTCCTTGGGTAGGAGAGGGATGGGTGCGCAATACGTACAATGTCCAAGTGGTTGATACGTAGAGCGTTCAGAGAACACTGAAAAGGATCCCATACGGAAATGTCCTATAGGAAACCTATAGTTATTTCTTATAGGAAACCTATAGGTTTTTGAAACACGAAAAACCTATTGAGTCTTATAGGTTTCCTGACCTATAGGATTCAAGGAGGATATTTTGGGTTTCGAAACCCAGGCATTACGACGGAAAAGGCGACTGAGGTTAATATTGGCGCAGCATTTCGGTGTAAATCAAAAACCGATTTGGGGTTTTTCCATGGTAGGGACACATGCATTATTAATACCAGCATTATTTATGGCCCCGCCCTACATGTGTCGCTATATTGCACATCTACTTCCTTCGGTAGGAAGAAGTAGTATTGTTCTCTCGACCGAAGGAAATAGAAGACAGAACCTACGAGCACGTCTCTTTACTGAAACTCCATTTGGATAAAGTCTACTTGGTTTCGTACGTGGTTTCCAAAAGGAATGAGGGCATATTTATTCACGAGACTCCATGATTATATCTGGAAGATGGGGATGACAAATAAGGAACTGTCGAAGTTTATTGATTCCTACAGTGAGGCAAGGCGAGACATTTGGGGACGTACAAAACACTCTTGTGAGAGATGATTCCTTGGGTAAGGGGAGGGCACTTTTGTGCCCTTTGAGAAATGTGAGAACGCAATACTTCCATCTAGTGGCCTAGAGGAGAACTTCAAACGGAACCCTATAGACCTATAGGGTTCCATATAGGCACTATAGGGAACCCTATAAGTCCTATAGGGAACCCCATAGGTCCTATAGGGAACTCTATGGGGCATATAGGTTCATATTGGATTTCCCATAGGATTCCAATATATTCCTAAAGGAATATATAGGAATCCTATAAGACAGTTTCGTAAGGGATGGCTTATTCTGGAATCGCAGGGAACCGGTTGGGTCTTTACCATCCCGTATCCATTTCCATATATTTCCTTCATAGGCTTGCACGCAAAGTGATGGAGTTGGTCTTGACGTACGAAGCTAACAGGGTTGTAATCATTAGGGAGAAGTGCCCATAAATGTAATGGGCGAAGTTCTCACCATGGCGAGAGAGTCATCCTCCCTTCAGCGGAATGAAAGGGGACTCCAAGGATTGTACGTGGGGTCACATAAAGAATGGGAAAGAGTGGTTGCTATGAGAGGGTCTCTGAGTTTTAGGGCCGCCGAATAAACTCGTGATTTTTTGCTGAAGAGTTCGCGGAAGTCTTCAACGGGTCGGCTAGTGCCCTGTATTTCCCCATAAACTAGCTCAATTGCCTGGATGCGAGACACTCAGGTTGCTTCAGTAGTGCTTCTGCATTTCCCCTATGAATCCTAACCAACTAACCTCGGAGAAGACGGGATCAAGGCAGATCAAGCGAGCCACATTTCAAATATGACTGTAGGAGCGGGAAAGCCTAATTTGGGGGATGATAAGTCACTTCGGTTAGAAAATATCCGCGATTGAAGGCCGAGATCCTTTCCTAAATGCTCCATCATTCCCCAAAATAGGTTGACCTTCTATAGGTCGATTCTTTGTTCTTTGACCAAACTGTTGAAAAAATTATTCAGGTAATTTTTATTCAGCTAACCATACCAGCGCGATGAAGGTCTTCTCCAAAACAACCCAGATTTGACCAAAAATGTGGTAAATGGAACCTGACTCCTGTACAGTGCTCTTGCCCGGGAAGGTCAGAGCACAGCTACCCAACGCAACTTAGCACGCAACCCTCATATCAACACATTAATATTCTGGACTCATAACCTAACCATCTCAGTTGAAACATATTAATATATCGCTATGACATATTTACTGTACACCGTATTTTCATGCGATATACATCTTGCATCATTCTGTAGGTACTGCGCTTCGGAAGTCATCCCAACCCGGAATTCCTTAGGTCTGTTGACATTTTGTTGCACTCGAAGCAGATCCCGCGCATGCGAGTACTATCTATCTATATAATAATAACCAACGTCCTCCGTCTGTCAGTCCGTTTGTCAGCTGGAGGCATGCATGGGTAGGCCTTTTTCGACTGGATTGACAGATTTGAATTTGAGGAGCTGAGAACATCTACTCATGGTTTTGAAGGTTCTATAAGTGGTCGAACATCAGGTTCAGACCTCGAAAGATACTATTCAAATAATCTTTATAATAATATTAATAATATAACCCTATAATAATAAAAAGACAACCTCATAATTTTACATCAACATGAACTCAGAAATTTCCATAGGGGCTATCTTACCTTATTCAACAGCCAACCGCTCCTACAAGGTGCATTTCCCTCCATGTAGCACTGATGGTCCGAAATGCACCATTCACAAACGGAATTATCCATGCACGTCGAACACGTTCTGTAGCTGCTACAGTTGAAAAAAGTGAACCTGTGCTCACCGAAGCTTATTCCTTCCTGCGTCTTGATGGTTAGGTTGTACACCAGTGTCCCTGTAACGCATTAGCATTCGAGTCACCCTTATTACATTTCCCTTTTTTTTAACAAAACCATGAAATTAAGTCATTTCCATGCCAAAATAATCCCTCAATGTATTTTGTTTCGGAGATAGCTAATTGAGCATAACCACGATGAATAGGGGTATTTAAATATACTGCTTATAAGACCAGTTTGTACTTATTTTCACTGGGGCCATAAAAACACCATAAACAATACATTTTAAGCAGATGTGTTGCTTCCGTAAGAGTTAAATTAAGCCCAAAAAGAATTCGATAAATGAATTTCGTTCACGAAAATGAAAATCGGATCGATTATCCCAGGTTATCGAGTGAACCATTATGACAATCTGGAAAAAAATAAAAATGATAAATTGTTGACGAGAGAAAGTTTTATCAGTTTGGTTGGAATAATTTTCCCTCTAAAATATCAATAATTGATATTTTCCCATTTTGCAAGCAACATATTCAAATCAATAACGTAAGCATGAAGAAACAAGCTGGATTAGGAGGATTCCCTTGAATAATAAGTAATGGGATTTATATTAAAAATGTATTCCATATTTTTTAGGCGAATCTTCAGAAACGAATATCAAGGTGTGGTTAAAGAGGTGTGCGAAAAACGTGTATTTGCTACTGACGCAATCAGGCTTAAAACTTGGATAAAAGATGCATTGGTAAGCTATGTTCAAAATTTTCCATCTTTGCTTCCATGAAATCAATTTTAAGCGGGAAATCTTGACACGGGAATGCAAAGTTTGATTCAATGAATTAGCAGAACTTCATTGCCAATATCGTTCATTATTCGTACTTTTTTTCGGGAGATATAGCACAATGCCAACATTTTATTGAAGCGCAAGCTACAGAGTCAAAAGTATTGTAAAATATAGATACTAGTGGCCAAGACCAAACGTTGTCAAATGTGCTACCAAATCACTATCTAATATACCGGTATATCGTGACTGACTGACTGACTAACTATATATTGTGACGGATGAGGATGTCATTGAGAGATAATCCTGTAGGTGGCCGTTTCGGTGACGTAGTGATAGCACATCTGACTGGTAATCGGAAGGCCCGGGTTCAATTCTCGGCCATTCCATGGCTCTTTTCTATTAGCTTCTCTTGCCTTCCATGTCCCGTTGCTTGAATAAAACGGAGAGACATGGAAAGCTGAAACGTGGAATGGACGTGCTGAGGGCACATATTTTGCAAGAGGCGCATTTTCCCGAATTTTCTGATCCAACAAAACTGAGGCCGCAAGAAAGTTTAAACTTGGCAATGAAGTACCTGATGAATAGCTGAGTAAAGAAAAAATTATACTTTGTTGATACACGCCATAAGGGGCACACCTTTTCGGGGAACATATTTTCACATAGATCTACTTGCTTCATTGAAACGGATACACATGGGAAGCTGTAACATGATAAGAACATGACTGGTGAAGCACTGAGCTCAGGAAAAATGTGATATTTTCAAAATAATGGAGTTTTTTATTGGGGGGGGGGATATTTCTTGGGGACTTTACTTTTTCCAATACTTTCTCATATCCAAGTGAATCGGGCAGAAATAGAAATGTAGCAGCTGGCACACGCATAACGGACGTGATGTTGATTTAAGGAAAAATTCAACTAGTGTTGTGTGTCTCCTAAGAGCACAGCTTTTGTGTGAGTCGTTTTTCCAATACATATTTTTCCACCAGCAAAAAGACTAAACGAATAAGGCTGAAACTAGGTGGCATAGAGTTCCCTTTCTCCATATTTCAGAAGAAATTACATTTTCGTTAAAACCCATCAGGGCACTTTTTCAGTCTCATTTTCCTGAATTTTTTTTTGATCCAACGAAACTGAGACAGAAAATGTATACTTCCTTCAGAAGTACCTATTTGATGGCTGAGTACAGGAAAAATCCTACTTGTGAAATATGCCTCCTTAGCGTAGATTATTGGACGGAAGTATTTCAAATTGTATTATCCACCCTTACAAACTGCGACACATGAAAATATTTCAAGTTAGACACACTAGAAATCCTAGAAGTAATGATTTTGATAAAAAAGTAAGACTTTCGTCCTGGTATGTCACGTATTTCACTGGGGACGTAATTTAAATACGTGTTTCCCATTTCGCAAACAAATAAATGAATTAATCAATAACGAAGGTAATGGGGCGCCGAAGGCGCGACCAAAGCGAGTTTGTTTACCAATAAATAATATCCAAATATGGTAAATAATGTTGCTAAAGCATATGTTACCTACTGTGGTTTCTTTAATATAGAATAAAAGAAGAAACCATAATTCAGTAAGGTGATGCACCTCATTCCTCGTACCATTGACATTGGAGACATTTGGGATATGGCATTCCAGATAATTTCTCCAAGTTCCAGGGGACGATAAAATTTCGACATCTCGTTGAAAGGAACATGTAACATTTTCTGACGGACGCCAATTTCTTGGTGCTCCGGAGACTTTAACTCGAATGACTGCCTGTGATGAGAAAAAGTCAGAACTGTTTCCAGTAAGACATTTCTAATGCAGATTTTGTAATTATGAACAAGCAGCATCATCCTCTCATTCCCTTTATACCTTTATTCTGCTAATCTACATGATGGGACGGAATGACAGGTTTGGTGCTTCAGGGCAAACATTCTGTGTAAAAAGTAAGCTGATGCGGTAACTTTCTCGTACAACATAGTTATTTTTTATCTTAATTTTTTGGTTATGAAAAATGCGTTACGAGGAATATACGTGCAAATACAATGGAAAAATGTACTAAACTCCACTGTATGGGCAATTAAACGAAGTCGCTTTACAGAGAACCCTCCTTGGGTGTTTCCATCTTGGTTTAGCTACGAAACAAACCACAATACCTCAAATGGGAGCGACAGATCACAATCATACCTTATCTTCAGCAAATTGATTAAGGCTGTATGTCGTTGGCTGAATATCTGCAATTTTTGGGCAGGCATTCCATTCTCTTCTCTCGGGATGAATGTGTTCCAGGCAACCAGACGTGCTCATGCACCTATATAAAATGGGTACACATCTGTTTACTGCGTATGTATCCGCTTTACCATGTTTCGCCAATTCAATTTCATAGATTACGGCTCAGGCACTTGGTTTTATCGTGCTATTACTGCATGCTGGTGGCACCCACTTGCATAGTTTCCATCATGCGGCCATTCGAAAATTGAAACTATGCTCAGCGTAAACGTGGCGGCTTCAAGCAAGAGAAGTCGTTTCAGATCAGATAATTCATGGGAAGTCTTATTCTTTAACGAAAACTCCCGTGGTGAGTAAGGACAGGAGAGTAAGAGACACCCTGGAATTTTTTCCCAGCGAATCCAGAATAGGGCAATTCCGCGCTACGGTCAACCCAAGGCCAAAACAAAATCTACGTAAATATTGCATACTTTGAGCAAACACTATAAAATCGGCATCGGCAGCAAAGCATGGTTGAACAACCATAGTGCTATCATAGTCATTTTAAAGAAAATGCGGATAATCTAAAGTATCACCCCTTTATATGCTTATTATAATCAAATATTTGTATTTGCAACGCTAGCTTTTGCGGATTCCAACCAAACTTCCAGTAGTATATCGATGTAACTATAAGCTATATTATCTTCGGATATAATAGCCACAGTCGCAAGTTTATTTCTCTCATGCACTTGAACAGGCAAGACTAAAGGTAGACTAATAGAAACATTTTATGCTAGTCCCACAAAATCAATAGCTTTCAATCTCTGCCAGCACTGGTGGGCAAATATTCGTGAACGTAAGATTTTCTCCTACACCTTTATATGGATATTTCGCCTTCTTGATGGGATGCTGTCTATTCTGTGAAAGGCGTGACTAGCGTAACATTCTGCTTCGTGACTAACAACATGATTGTGAACAGAACCCGCCAAGTAGACTCTCTAATGGTATGTACGGCAATCATCAGGTAAAGTTATTGTGACTTCGTATTTCCAATATATCCAGGTATTGTCTAATTCAAATTTAGATCATGGCAAATATGGCATTTGAAAGGTAATCGGATAGTCGACCGTGGAGGAGTTGAGAAATGACGAATCTATTTTCGCGACCAAAAGGTACCCTAAAAGTTAATGTCGGGGCTCGCCCGCATAGTAGGAGTTTTGATGATATTATATGTCTTTTACAGAACGAGACAAAATCACCTGAACATTTTTAGCCCATACCAACCTTTGAACGCTGTGCTGATGCCATGTTAGGCAAATACTTATTTATACTTTTTCCATGACATATGCAACGTTTTCATATCCATAGGTAAAAAAATAGTCGATTCCGTTTTGCATGCTGAATATTCTTCGAAATAAAAAACCAACAGATATGTTAACGCCAATCCAACAAAGGGCTCTGACCACAGATATACTCAAAAAAGGGTCTTACGCAACAGGGAGTGACGCGGCTTTTCGGATATGCTCGTGTGGTTTATACAGGGTTTTTATCGATCCCTCATCAAAACTGACATAGACCTTCACTTGGAGAATCACTTCAATCCTCAAGTTTAATTGCTTTGCCAGTGCCTTCCAAGAGAGTCCAAACGGATGTACTGTACTGCATGTGGCGTTCTTTACCTATATATTTTTTAAATTAAATTTGGAGTATTGATTGACTTGCGGCCAAGGAAGGAATGGAGGCATTGCTTTTGGAAATCATGAGGAAAAGATATTTTGTCACGGCACAGGGAAACATCTAAGAGTGAAATGAGAAAAATTATTTATAAGAAAAATAATGCGTTGCAGAAGGCGGAAAGGCACGTATTTTCTAATCTTCGAACGTCGGCGGGAGCAATATCCATTAAAGAGCAAACAGTTTCAATGGAAAAGCAATGCAGCGGGTGAAAATAGTAGGTTTATGTTAGTCACAGAGTCCATGTTGATTCCACGTAGGATTTTCATCGAGAGAAAGGTTCACATGTGACGTTTAGCAAAATGGAATCTCTTTGAAGCAAACATTTATTTGGAGTAGTGAAAACTGGCATAGATCATGTAGTTTATATGTATACACGATGCGTCTGATTGTTATATTAGCCACGATGAAATCATCCAATAGCTCGCCGCATCCAGCTTAGGCTCTACTTAACAGATGAAATGTACGTGCCCACAGAAATCCTATTATCTCAACCTACTCATTTGAAAAGTCTAAAAAAATATATATCTTGTTGTAATGAAATTCGTAAAATTTTACTTTCGATTATGATTTTCCTTTGCCCCGTCCCGTATATATGAACTTGAGAGCTAAGAGTACTGGCCTAAGTCCTGGCCTTCCATGGCCCATGAGCTTTTGACAATGTAATGCCAGAGGCTAAAAACTTTTGCGATGTACTCGTCGTAACATGAAGTGTCTACCGATGTGTTAAAATATTGCATAGTTAAACATGTCATGATTCTCCTGAGAGACCCAGAGACATTGAAACTTGTTTCGGATCCAATGACGACTCACTGTTGTTTTCCTGGGCACCATGCGCATATTCGTTCTTTGGATATACATTCATCACATGATTGGTATGTCGAGCATTCATGAATTCCAATGCGAATGAGCTGAAACAACGAAAATGGAGTTTGAAAATATGGATGGAAGAGCTGCAATTATTCGATGCGAATGAAATTCTTAAATACCTGTTCCTGCGTGAGAATAAGAATAGCAGATGAGTCTCCCTGCATGACATGATTGAGGGAGAGAATCGAAGATCCATTCACCAAGTCGCGCAAATCCATGTTATGATTTCTCTCATTCGCTACCAACTGAAAGAGAGAGTCGTCAATCAAACGGGTGCACTCGTCGAAGGTCAATAGGAAGCGAAGCTCCTCTCCTGAACGTGATCCCGAATAGGCTACCCGATACAGGTCTTGTCGACATTTTCTCGGCACCAATCATGCAGCCATTATATTTTCTTCAATTCCTTCTTACTGTTACTAATCCAAGTAGAGCAAGATATGCCCGCAACATTTTTAGGAAATGTTGAACAATGTCGTTTCAATGTGTAATTGTCTAAAATGTCAACGTTGCTGACATGTTGCGAAAGAACATTGTATTGACGTTGCGAATCGTTATTTATTCATTAAATATAAGTTACACAAACGTTTCAAGACTTATTTTGCTGCAATGTTGATGGAAAACGTTGGTTTACCAGCACCTTATCTCGATCAATATAGGCATTATTACCCGGAAAAGCATAGGCTTCACTGGCCTTGAACTGGACCGATATTCTGCCAATAATGACTTATTTTTTCCATCATTTACTTCATCTCTCTACCCAGACTTTCCCATCAACAGAACAAAGGCAGTACTGGCGTAACCCTTGTCCATGCGTAATATATCATCATTGGCCCTCACGTCGGAAGTAACGCTGTGTAACAATGGAAAATGCATTAAATTGTTTGAGCTTTACATATAATGATTAAATGATCATAATGGGATTCTCCATTAGAGTGAAACTCGTGCAACAGTTTGTTGACTAATTTGCCTGAAGGGCAAACCACAAATAATAAGTAGTATATGAAATTCAATTCTAATTACTTTCTCAAATCATCAGCATTAAACTTGTAATGTATATAAAACCTATTATTGACAGAGGAATCATCACAAAACCATTTTTTAAAGGAACCCTAACCATCCCAAATTATGCTTCCACAAATCTGGTTGCACGAGAAGGAACTTACGAATGCGAATCTTGTGAAGCACATCATACCTTTTTCACAGGGCCTCCCTCCGTTCCCATGATGATGATGATGTAGTCCATGTCAGTTCGAACTGCCGCCAGAGCCGTAACTGTTCCTATTCCCTCTAAATTTTTTGGATTTCCAAGCGCTCGTCCCATCATTGGCTCCGTTTCAAAAATCCTCTGATTTAAAAATGGCATTTCATACCAGTCCTCATTCTTCATGTTCTATTTGAAACAAAATTCTATTTATTTTCATATCTGTATTTGGTACCAATATGTGCTTTTTTATTGCCACAAGTGTGCGTAGCAAAGCAACACCTCTGGAAAATATCAGAAACATAATCTACCCAGGTAGCATTAGATATCCTCCGTACGATCGCAGAATATCCGCGCCGGACGTTCAGACGTACGTGGGACATCCGCTCGGTACATGACGTGGATATCCAAATGCAACGGCTCTAGATCATCCGCTGGACATCCTCCTGAGATTCCTCCGAGTAGGTTCGGTGGACATACCCCGGATATTCGCGTGGTTTCTTCGTGCGTAGTTGCAGCGGATCATAGGTACAGGTGGATGCAGTCCTTTTCGTAATTCTCCCGGTTTCTTGAGTAATTTAATAAAAAATATTAAGTGTCTATCTAAAGTTCTAGAAGTTTTGTCTCATTTTTGTGATCTCAGGTATGTATAGTGTTGATATGGACATGTGCATTTAAGTGCTATTGAAATGGTGAGCTGGATGCACATTGCCATCAAAAGGTGATTTTGCTATTCATGTAAATCCAAGAACCATCTGCTGGTATGAATAGGAAACCTAGTTCCATATTGTTTTGATATTTCAATGATGTGAATAAAGATAATTTACCATATTGAAATAATATAATGGGGAGAGTTATTATTAATCATGGTGAGAGTGAACACAGCAAAAAGTGAATGGAGATTCATTGATCCATTTATTCATTCTTAATGGAAAGTAGCCATATATCTTCAGTTACTCTCACATTCAACTCCCTATCTATGCAGATGATCATCCCCCTGGCCTCCTTCTCCTCAACCGTTGACTCGGCTTTTCTGATCATTTCGGTGACATCAAGTAGGGCTTGTTTCTCCACAGAGCAACTACAAAAAAAACATAAATCCATAAGACATAATACCAGGTGCTTCTTGAATTCTATATCTGTACTATGCATTGTGAACTTCAACTCCTATCTGCCATGTCACCCTACCATAGGAGGGGTATGAAATATTTTGAAACATTTATAAATCCATAAGACATAATACCAGGTGCTTCTTGAATTCTAAAGCATGTACTATGCATTGTGAACTTCAACTCCTATCTGCCATGCCACCCTACCATAGGAGGGGTATGAAATATTTTGAAACATTTATGAATCATTGTGAGAGGGGTTCATAGGATTTTGCAGTTAGTGCTAAACAATATCCAAAAATATTAAACTCACTGGGGACACTATATGGGATGCAGTTTAGGTTTAAATTCTGGTCAGCTGGCCATGTATTGTACTGGTCTACAACCAAAACATAATCTGATTTATTTTTTAAGGGAGAGTTCCATGGTGAGGTGAAATTTATAAGGGTTCCTAATTTTTCACTGCATTCCTGTTTTAAGGTTGGAAAGTTCCCACCTTGATCAAATTACAATTATTAACATAATCTGATTTATTTTTTAAGGGAGAGTTCCATGGTGAGGTGAAATTTATAAGGGTTCCTAATTTTTCACTGCATTCCTGTTTTAAGGTTGGAAAGTCCCCACCTTGATCAAATTACAATTATCAGGTTCATATTTTAATACACAAATCTACTGGGTTCTCAGACCCCTTCTATGTTCCTCAATATGGTTTTACATGAAACCTTGTGACTTGTACATATGATAGGAGCAAAAAGGATATTCCTGTCTATATTTCCTGGTATATGTGATTTCACACATGGTGTTATGCCTGCACCCTGATAGTGAATGCAGTGCACCAACCATGAACTTTCACAGCTTTCTTCAGGACAAAGTTATATACTTTTCTTTCAAAATAAGAAACAATGAATTTCAATACATGAATAGACTTTTGAATAGTTACAAATGAATAATGTTAACTAGTTCTATTGCTCAGCTATTTCTCTCAAAGTCAAACTGAAGTCCCATGATGTTTTATGTGATAACAAGCTTCTATGAAGAAATAACTTTTAATGACTTTTGAATAGTTATAAATGAATAATGTTAACTAGTTCTATTGCTCAGCTATTTCTCTTAAAGTCAAACTGAAGTCCCATGATGTTTTATGTGATAACAAGCTTCTATGAAGAAATAACTTTTGTTTTTTTCCCTCATGAACTCTATTGAAACTACAAGGATCATCTTGAAAAAACACCATGATCCCTCATGTCCCCTCAAAAGTGGCCCTTGCATGATATTCCCCCCCACCCAAAGACATATGTCTACAGGAAAATCAAAACTGAGATTAAGGAGTTATACTCATTGATAAAAGCAATGTACAGTGGAAGGACTTCAAACCTGTGATTTCCCTTTCTGTCCTCTCAGCTGAAAAGGTTTCCAATCTCGTTACAAATCTCGCCTTCAGGATGCTGCATGTTTTTTCTCCAATAGAACTGTCTCTAATCCCTTGGAAGTAGGATACCTGTTGATGACATGCAAACGTTCACTGCTTCAAAATACACAAAGGTTTGAGAGAATCAGAGAAGGAAGACTTCCTTCATTGGGAATCACATATTAACAACTGATTTCTTGCTAATTTCAGTTACTTCTTGTATGGGGTGAAAATTGAAGTGCTCCCTTTTGACCGATGCACAACATGAAACTGAATATAAGTATCAAGATGATTTACAAATTCTTTAGCAATAGGCACAATAAAAACAGAACTTTAATGCATGCCTCATTAGGAAACTTTACAAATTCACAACCAAGAGCAATTGATGCCTGTCAAGAGGAAACAAAAGCCAATATTTACAAATAGGAACAGCTGGGCCACATGGAAAAGGCAAAATATTGAAATGCCACACAAGACACACCTCTACATCTGAGAAGTTGAGAATCCAGTATGACCAACTAAGACCAATGACATGCTTTTCTGCAGCCCTGTTCTCCACACCAGCATGGCAAATGTCTCCTCATAACTCCCAGGCAGACCTTAGGAAAGAATAAGAGTATCCTGATGTATGAGATGGGACATGAGGGAATGACAGTGATCACCAGATGAATGACAATGTAGAAAAATTCCAAACATGTGACTCAGATTTTGTTGGAAGCTAAAAACTGTTATCTACAAGCCTATATTTCAGAGTAATTTGTGAACCCTTCAAAACCCTCACCAAATGCATGTAGTCCAGTAGGAATTACGACACCAGTTCAATGCCAACTTGTAGGAGAGGTGATACAGATGATCATCTTCAGGCTGAACCTGTACAGCTATGTACCATCCAGAGGGTACAGAACTCAGCCTCTTCAAGACATTAGGCCTGCAAAAAGATATTGACATTTTGTTAGCTATATCCAAACCACAAGCTGAAAATGAAAGGAGTCTGATAACATGCTTGTTTCTTTTATTGTGTACAAGATGGGCCAGAAGCTTTTGGAAGCATTACCTGGAGAAAGTTCATTGACATTGACTTTTAAGTTTAATATTGAGCCCTCTAGGGCATGAACACCACCCTTAGCCCTTTTCTCAATCTATAAATTGAAAAAGGATAGTAAAACTGTCCTTTTCTCATAGAAATGATTTTATCCTTGATATATGAACCAGATTCCATTAGTGTTCAAGATTCTCTTGGAAGTGCTGAGTGATAGAGAGTTGTAGGATGTAGAGTAATTCATTCACTTCAGTGAGACATGGAATTCCCTCAATTTTTTGCCCATTTTTTGCAATTTGTTAAGAAGACTTTAGCTGACTTCAGTAAGAGAACATGATCCTGACAAAAAAAATAAGTACCTTCAGGTGCAGCAGATTCATTTTGGAGAAGGATTCCTTCAGGCGTGGATGCCTTGGGTCAGAGAGCACAAACCTTACTGTAGCATTTCATCATCTTGGTATGTAGGGCAGTGGGCTTGGCCAGTTGGCAAACTACATAAGACCTAGGTCTCATCTCCACTGCTCTCCAGATTTCTTCAAGAGGCAGTGTAGAACCATCATGAACATGAGAAAGTGATTATCAGGTTGATGGCAATTTCCATACTTCCAATTGCTGCTTTCTGAGGTAATATGAAACAAGAACGCGAAAGGATGGTTTGACCACAGTGTGCTTACAAAGAGGGACCATTTCATTACCTGTCACAAAATCAGTGCAGTATGAAAATGAAAGACAGGAATCACAGATACCATTAGACTACCATGTGACAAGCTTTCTCAACAACTCATGAGGTAAGAATTAATGGAGACATTAGGTATGATATACATCTACTCTATAGCAAGTGGGAAAACATTCTTACTGAAGAGAAAAGAATATAACGTCATGGAGGCCCCTGGCAATCTCCATGATGATCATGTCTTGTTAGATGCCATGAAATTGGAGGGTCAAGTTCTTATTCTCTGAATGGAAGCTAGAAGTCCACCATCATCATCAGTCTCACCCTTCCAAGACAGACACTTGCAGATGATGAGGCCAATGTTGTGATCACTTTTTACATTAAAGTAAAAAAGAACACTATCCAGAATGTGGAGAGCACTGTGACTGTTCATTTTTACAATGAAATTGGACCTAAGAGGCCATGTAATAAATGTCATTATCCAATGAGAACCATGAACACATGGGAAAAAAAAATCATTGCATACGAATGAGATCTAAAGTAAGTAGCAAGCGAAATGGTCAAAGACTGAAGTTGATATTTCCAGTAGGCCTACTATAGCCCTAACATGAGGCCCATTCCTTACGGTACATATGGCAATGTGAGGCCTAGGCGGAAGACTTAAGATAATTGCCGTGTTTCGTTACGCTATTCAACCTCCAATTTCCAACATTGGGGATATCTGAACCCCAAGGAACGATTAACATCAAACATATAATGCCCATGCAACTAACGAAATAACAAACACGTCCATTTCTAATAACAAGGCTGCATGATCGAGTACTGAAAACATATATACCTAAAGGCTTGGGGAACAAATCTGTATAATAAAAAAATTGATAGCAGCAAAGTTCTATGCAACAGCACCTCATATCAAGATCGAATTGCACGTACATGATGCGTCACTGCGCCAAAACGAGCGGCTACATCATGCACTTGAACGGGAGAGTTTGGCATCATTGGCGCTTTTTTCAAATCCGGCTGACATGCGAGTAAAATACATGTGGATGTACTAAAGATATTCACAGGAGCTTCGGACCATATCCACCCTCGCATCTCACACGCATGTCCATCGCATGTGCTCTGTACTGCGCTTTTTTCAAATCCGGCTGACATGCGAGTAAAATACGTGTGGATGTACTAAGGATATTCACAGGAGCTTCGGAGCATATCCACCCTCGCATCTCACACGCATGTCCATCGCATGTGCTCTGTACGAACCTAAAAAAAATTGTGATTCTCGCTGGGATTCGAACCCTGGTCCCCTGCCATGCAGCCGCACTCGCTACCAATCGCGCCACTCTCAAAGTCCGTGAGACGTCCGACGAATATCTAGCGGACCCAGCGGATATGAGAGGATGTGAGGATCCAGAGTGGACGTACATAGGATTTCTAATGCTACCTGGGTACTCGCTACCAATCGCGCCACTCTCAAAGTCCGTGAGACGTCCGCCGAACATCTAGCGGACCCAGCGGATATGAGAGGATGTGAGGATCCAGAGCGGACGTACATAGGATTTCTAATGCTACCTGGGGATATTCTTGCTCCGATGCCGCATCAGAGGCAGGGGACTTCGGATTTAGATTCGTTGCTCCCTTTGAAAATATTTCGCCCATTGTGATATTAATACTTGGTGGAAGTGTGATGCATTTTCAGGGATATTTTATATCCTTCCTCCTTAGCGATATTCTTGCTCCGATGCAGGATCAGAGGCAGGGGAGCTCAGTTTTAGCTTCATCGCACGAATAGAAAATATTTCACCCATTGTGATACTTCTTGGGAGTGCGATGCATTTCCGGGGATAATTCGGTTCTTTGTTTCATAGCAATTTTCTTGCTCCGATGCAGCATCAAAGCCAGCGGACCTCTGTTTTAGCTTCATCGCACGAATAGAAAATGTTTCGCCCATTTTGATACTAGGTGGAAGTGTGATGAATTTTCAAGGATATTTTATATCCTTCTTTCTTAGCAATTTTCTTGCCATGATGCAGGATCAAAGGCAGCGGACCTCGGTTTTAGCTTCTTTGCAAGAATAGAAAATGTTTCGCCTTTTGTGATACTTGGTGGGAGTGCGATGCATTTTCGGGGATTATTCGGTTATCTCTTAATTGCAATTTTTCTGCTCCGATGCTGCATCAGACGCAGGGGATCTCGGTTTCAGCTTCGTTGACGCCTTAAAAATTTTTTCGCCCATTGTGGTACTTGGTGGGTGTGATTTGCATTTCCTTTGGGTATTCGGTTCTTTGTTTTGTAGCAATTTTCTTGCTCCGATGCTTCATCAGAGGCAGAGGACCTCTGTTTAACTTCGTAGCAGCTTTCGGAAATGTTTCGCCCATTGTGATACTTGGTGGGAGTGTGATGCATTTTCGGGGATATTTTATATCCTTCTTTCCTAGGGATTTTCTTGCTCCGATTCTGAATCAGAGGCAGGGGATCTCGGTTTTAGCTTCTTTGCACGAATAGAAAATGTTTCGCCCATTGTGATATTGATGGGAGTGCGATGCATTTCCGGAAAAAATTCAGTTTTTGGTTTTGTAGCAATTTTCTTGCTCCGATGCTGCATCAGATGCAGTGGCCCTCTACTTGAGCTTCTTAGCCGCCTTGAAAATGCTTTGGCCATTGTGATTCATTTTGCCCATGTAATGCAATTTTGCTGATATTTTTCATCCTCCTTGTTATGGGTCTTTCCTGCTTTGATGCTGCGTCAGCGGCACAGTAATTCGATTGCAGCTTCTTCCCACGAATAGAAAAGTCTTTTTTGTTATACGTGTTGTTTGTTTTTCAATTTTTTTTCATTTATAAGTTTCATACATAGTTTTTATTCTTGAAAACATTGCAATGGAAATGTGCCAGAGTCATCAACAACTTCCCAAGTTGAATAGATGATGATTTATTCGAATAAGGAGGACGCTGGTTTGAACATATCATTTACTATTAATCAACGGTAAATTACATGTACCTTTCCAAGCTTTGAATTGTTTTAATAATAGCCTTTGATTCTCCAGTCATGTGTAATTGATTTCGTTTGGTTTATATGAATAAAAAGCACTTCGACAGAAATCCTCTCGCATTTCCTATATGTAGCGTTTTTTTTAGACCACCCTCTCTATTCTCCTCGGACATCACCTGGATGACTAAATGTCTCGTCTATGGAAAATCCTTGGACATGCTCCTTGGATTCCCTTTGGGAAAGCTTTTGTATGACCATTGAGGGGTGCAACGATAGTAATCCCCAGGTAGCTATGGAGTGTAATTTGCCTGCTCATGAATATTCCTGGAGGGAAAGAAGCACTACCTGCAATTTGACCATCTCGCCCTCACGTTCCTTCGAGGAACTAGGAGAGGAGTGTTTGGAAGGAATGTGAAGCATTATTGAGCCGAAACTCTACTTCCCGCCCTCATCTCTCAATCAAGACATTGTTCACATCATCGACATAGCCGGCATAGTTTTTACGGGGAAGGAACAGACATACTCGACTAGGGGAAGCACACTCTTACCATGCAATATGTATGAATTGCCAAGAGTCTCCTTGAGCTATGTTACGTCTCTCAATCAATGAATTAAGTAGAATGACTTCATTCCTTAGGCTTCCACGTGGGAAATCGTGGAGTAGAGGATGGAAGTTTGCACAGAACAATTCGTTAGCATTTTGGAAATCGGGAGACATACAGCGGCGTGACGAGCGTAACCTCACTTATATTATGGGAACTTTGTATTCCTTAATTGAAGTGCTAGATGTCAGGTCAGATGTAAAGCCTCAACGGGGCGGGGATTCCATCCAAGGACATCCAGTGGAAGACCATTAGAAGTTGTCCTTGGAGGTTCCATTGCTGGACGTCCAATGGACCCCCAAAGGACTGACACATAGTTTCGTTCGTATTGTCGAAATCTAAACGAAATCATCCACAGGTCCAATTATAACGTCACACTAGCTATATATTGATTGAAGTTATTTGGCTACGACCTAAGATGGGAGATTAGAAGACAAAAAGAAAATATATCCCACGATCGGATCCTCGTAACGCCATTCCATAAAACCTTCATTTAATGAGATGGAAATAATTGAGTGTTCTATATACGGAAAGGTAACAACCTTGTTGATACAATCACAGCACATCTTGCCACTTGTGCACATATAAAGAAGGTAGAAAACTCAATGGGAAACTGTAGAATAGAATCCTGGACTCAAAGGAGATATGGCCAGCAATTGCAGGGCCGCCCAGAGGTTTCCAGGGGCCCAGGGCAAAACTAAGCTGGAGGCCCCCATGGGATCCTTTGATATGTGGGACCAGAGGCAGATTGCCCCCTCTACCCCTCCTCCTAAGCCCCAGGTGGGCCTGAGCAAATGTAACTTCCAATTCTTTCTCTTTTCTAAATGTCAACACTGAAAAGGTTTCCTAATATAACAGAAAACTGAACTACAAAAGGTCTTTCAACAGAGTATGGCCATGCTAGCAAGTGGCAGCAGATGATCATGGAACATGCAAGGAGGGCCAGGTGCACCAACCAATTCTCCTCTCTACCTGCAAATAACACCAATCATAAAGTGTCAAAAAGAAAGGCATCTCAAATCTGTGCAGGTACACTTTCCAGAGGCTAATTCAGCACAAACAGGGTGTCAAAAAAAAGCCCCTATCCATAGATAAATTCAAAGGAATGATAAACCCAATGAATTCATTAAATACTCCATAAAAAAAACTCAAAGTTTCAGTAATCTGCCTTCAGTTTGAATCACAGCTTCAAAAAGAGAAAGGTTGAAAAGACAATTATAGTCGACAATGTTGTTAACAATGGGTGGTCATTGAAATGTTCATTGAGATTTCTTTCCAAGTGCTGCCAGACAATGAAGGTGTCTCCACAGTTTCGCCTTGGATTTCCAGCATGAGTCTCCATTCAGTCTTGGGTGATTGATCCCTTGTGCACCCCTTGTGTACAAGCATTCTAATTAGGAGAATAGGGTAGCCACTGAATAGTTTCAAAGTAGTCCATGTCAGCATTCCACAGGAATTGCTGGGCAGCAAGAGCACAGAAACAGGAGCCATATCATGGAGAACAGCAGCGTCAGGACAAATCAAGGACCATTTCTGAATACGTTTTTAAAAGATCCAGCAAGAACTCTGGTTCTGAAGACCTTTTCCAATGGGAAATGGGGTTAACTTCAGCCATCCAGTTTCCTCAATCACCCACAACATGCAACAGTGAAGCAAAGAAAGGTGCCAATGCACCAGGATGAGCCTGAAATTTCACAAAATCCCTCACTTTCCTGGATATCATCAATAGATTTTCCCTGAATTCTATTATTTTGAGAATTCTGATTTTTAACCAAGCCATATTGAATATTCACAACTTAACAAGAATATAAAAGATGCAAAATGAAATGAACTTTCACATTCGTTTGACGGAGATAACCTAATTCCTATAAACTCCCATTATGCAATCATATCAGTTTAAGTTAAACCGTTCTGGTGCATGTCACTTTGTTTCTGGGCATCTCGAATACTAGAGAATTGGAGGGATGCTTGACGAGACCGAGAAAAAATAATGTCCCGCGAGAAAAAAGTAGAATTTTTCAAGGCTAATATGGCTAACGTAACATGGAAGCAGATAGGGCATTCCAAAGTCCCAATTGGCTGAAGGAAAGAAAAACTATTAGGTACTTCTCGCCAATACATGTCCTGAATAATTAAGACAGCGACTCCGGGTGCCAAATCTCCCTTTCAGTTGGACTGTCTGAATAGAAAGCTTCTCCCAAA